ATTCCCCAGCTAGTGTTCTTATAGTTGTGCTGGCTCTACGAGGAGATGGGAGAGGCTAGACACCCTCCTACACACCACTTACAGTTTCCCAGGCTCGTTACTCACCTGATGGAGATTCGGGGGTTCCATTACCCCCGAATAAGGCTACCATAACCGTCTTCACTAAGTATCATTTCGCGCAGTGGAACAATGTCGAGGGCCATATGCCCAAGACACGGAAGAGGGAATAAGGGCTTGACGATGAGATTTGAGAGGATCGACAGCGATTAGATGCCAAGGCTCGAGGTATGCCTTATGTGCTCCATGTACCACCTTATCCACCTCCACCTACTATTCTCTCAGCTGATCATACAGAGGTAGCAGTTAGAGATTATGGAGACCTTCCTGCAGGTGTAGCTGAGGAGGAGGAGGATGAGGATGAGGATGATGATGAGGCTACAAAGGATGAGATGGATACCTCTGATGGCCAGGCACCACCTTGGAGGAGGCCAGTTCCTGCAGCGCTGCTTGAGAGTTATTCTCAGGCAGAGATTAGAGAGTTACAGGCCAGGGTGGCCGAGCTACAGGCCGGACAGATAGTGCTGAGACAGATGTTGACTGCGCAGTAGAGCATTCTTAAGGAGTTATTATGCCGTACTCCATCTGCTCCTTCTACTTCTACCGCTACTCCTCTGCCTCATACGGATTAGCTGTCTAGGGCTTTTCTCTATTTTCTTTTGATAGATAGGCACTTCTGTAGACTAGGGCAGTATTTTTTATGTATTTCATTCTCTATGCTGTATTTATGCCTTAAGTCTTTATTTCAAAAAGCATTTTACTGATTTTGATCATTTATATGCATGTTTTTTGCCTATCTTATACTAGTGTTGGTATGTGTAGACACCCAATATATCCCCTACCCATTTGTAGGGGTATTCCGGCAAACCTAGTTTGGTCGAGTTAGGAAAATTAGAAAATCTGACCACCAAATCATAAAATGAATGTCACCATTGGATCCGAAATGTCCCAAAACCTTAAGGTATACCTAGAGTCAAATTCGTAATGCGACTTCTAACACTCGATTAAGGAAGGGGTAAAATTATAATTTTGCCTCCTCAATTCGCTAAAGTTTAATCAAAACTTGAAAAATATAGCTAATATGATCTTCAAATGAAAAATGGACCCGTAATTGTGTCCAGAGCACGTCAAACCCTAGGGTAAGAAAAATAGTAATAATATATAAAATAATATAATAAATATAAGTAAAGGAAAAATAAATAGCACATAATGGTCACTTGCCCAGAACATTATTGTCTGGGCAAAACAGGTTTTGCATTAAGTAAAGAAAAGATATGATATATGATATCTATATATATATAATCATTTAAATTCAGTCCAGGCATTAAGCCACGGCCCAAGGCCATGATCTCTCTATGGAAAGAATGTTAACAAAAATAAGTTAACAAAATAAAATAAAAAGAAAGGAAAGTATAATTAAAATATATATATATACACATACACATAGACGCACTCATGCACATGAAAAAAGGAAGGCCAGTTATCAGTTTTATAAGTCCTATTGCATGAGTTACGGCACCATTTAGTAGATAGCACGATTGGTGAGTAAATAATTAAGGTAAGAATTTAAAATAATGCCAAGCGTTGCTTGTCTGCCAGAGCTACTCGGCTTATAAATACAGGATTGGCAAAAGGGAGGAGGGGAAGAGAAAAACCATAGCAATTAGAGAAGCCCTAAATCTATAAACCATTCTCTGATATTATTCTTTTACGTCTCCAAGTTCTGCCGGCAAGGGACCAATTACCATAGCCACCAATTATGTCACCCATCCGCAAACAGACACCAATGATCCATTATACACACCAATGGCCAATCTATAAATACAGACAGATGCACTAAGCATCCATCCGAGAAGATAGGCAATCTTTTCCACTACTTTGATAAGCTCTCAATAGCTTCCGAGAAAGGGGTCGAAGGTCAGCCCCAAAAGCCTCCAAGAAATCAAGCAAATGATTTTCTCCAAAAAAATAAGATAAGTCTCATTCTCTCACTTCTGATCTGCGGCTTTTAAGCACTCAAAGGTTAGCTCTAAAACTAATCCTTTACTCATGCCTTTTTCTTTTAATTTTCTTTGAGAACTCTTAAGTTTTCGTTTGGTCTCTCTTTATGTTGTCCTCTATTTGTTTGGCTCGTATGCAAAATGATGATCATTAAATACAAATATCATTGTTGCATTGTTTGGTCCATTTTATTTATTTATTTATTTTTTTTTGTTGGGTTCAACTTGTTTATGGTGGTTTATATATACATATATATACTTGGTCATTGGTTTCATGAATATCCTGTCTATCTGCTAGCACCATAGTTACGAGATTGGCCATGGTAATTCAACTGATGCACTCTTTTACATGGAATCCTTAGTATGGTTACATGACACCTAAGTTGGCATGCTAACTATAGTTATTCCTTTTATTTAGCCTCAACAAAAATTATAATTTTATGGTACCTCAAGTACCATACAGACTCTGGTTATTATAATTTTGAAATCTTATTTTCTGAAAAAATCATATTTTCCTAGAAATCCTGTTTTCCAATTCTACCATATCTCCAGATAACTATGTTTTCTAAAAAAACAAATAAATCATATTCTCTAAATCATTAATAGTATTTTTCCAAAAGAGAATATCATGCAAATGATCATTGCTCATAAAGAAATGATATTCTCTAAAATTAATATTCTGTGGAATCTATTGTCAAAATCTTTCTTTCCTTAGCATCAGATTTTTCTAGAAATTAATATTATCAGGAATTATATTTTTAGACTGTGGAATAGTTTTTTTTTTTTTTTTTTTTCATTTGTTAAAAGTAATATTTTAGATTTATATTAAATAATTAGTAAGTGCATTTCCCAAATAAACATTGGATTTCTAAACGTTGGGCATTTCGGAAGATCATATTTTGGAATTTTCTAAAATAATTGTCAATATTAAAATCATGCTTTCTAGATAAAATATTTCCTAAAACCATATTTACTAAATCTTTATTTCCTTTAGAAATAATATTTTCCAAAAAATCGTATGTTGCTTTAGGAATAATATTTTCTAAATATAGTATTTTCTCAAGAAAAAATACTTTCTGAAATAATATCTTTTTTTTTAAAAAAATCATATCTTCTAAAATATACATATATATATGTTTGTAAAAATAATAATATTTTATAAAATCAGATTTTTGTTTAATATAACTTCAAAAATATAAATCTTATTTCTCTTAATAAACCATATTTTCTAGAAAAGAAAATCATATCTTTCTTTATAAGTAATATTTTCTAACAAAAACCATATTTCTAAAATAATAACTTTCTTTAGTAATTGTATCTCCTAAAATATTTTCTAAAACTATAGTTTCTAAAATTATATTGTGACTTTAGCAGAAATATTTTCTAAAACATATTTCCTAAATCTACCTGTTTTAAAAATAAATAACTAAATAAATAAATATATGTGTATATATATATATATATTGAAATCATATTTTCTATTACTTTCTCCAAATATTAGCTTCCTAAAGCTACAAATTTCCTTAGAAATATATATATATATAAGCTTCCATATACACTTTCATAAATTACAAGTTTCCTTAAAAATATTTTAAAATATAAATTCCTTTTAAACATTTCTCGTATGTTTGAAATACACATTTCTTTCGCCAACATTCTATCCCTTAAAACACAAATTTTTTTAAATAATATTTTCTGAAAAGTCCAAATAAAATATTTAAAATATTTTTTCTTATGCGTCATATCTTCCCAAATAAAATATTTTTGAAATGTATGTATATATATATATATATATATATATCAATGATTACTACATTCCTTAAAAAAATAATATTTTCTTCAAATCAATGTTTTCTTAAAAGTCGTATCTTTTTCTTAAATAATCTAGAATATTATCTTTTCCTGAAATAATCTAGAGTATTATCTTTTCCCAAAATAATCTAGAATAATATATTTTTCTAAAATAATCTAAAATCATATATATATATATATGTATTTAATAATACTAAAATAATATTTTCTTTAGACAATAATATTTTCTCTTAAAATAAAACTTTCCTAAAACAGAGTTTCTTGACATAAAGCTTTCCTAAAAGCTTTTTTTTTTTTTTTTTCTTTCTTAAATAATCCAAAATTCACCTTTTTATATAAATATTTGATTCCAAATTAAAATTAGGAATTAATTATATAAAGTTTCATATTTTCTAATAAATCAAATTTTCTTACAAAATAATATCTTCTAAAAATCGTATTCCTAAAATAATATTTTATTAAATCATATTTTACTGGAAGATCATTTCCTTTCCAAAACTAATATGTTTGAATATAAAGTCACGATCTTTTTATTAAACACTAATATGAAAGCATTGATTTTATCTTCCTACAGATAGAGCCAAGTTTACAAATCATAATTGAATAAACATATCTAAGTATTGAAACTACACATGTACTTTTTGGAATGCAATATAAAAATAAGGTAACCGTTTTTCGCGGGTGTCATGGGGTGCCTAACACCTTCTCCATGCACAATCAAACTCCCGAGCCCATTAATTTGGTTTTCGTAAACTAAGTGGATGTCAAATATGTTAGGGCCCAAATTAGATCACTCATGTGTCCATCTATTTTTCCTAGACACCATAGGTGACCTACCACACCATAATCCTATGCTAGGTGGCGACTAGATTATTAATAAATTGGCCCTACTCCTAAATAAATAATATTTGACCATAGTCACTCCGTCGCATTAAGCCCTTTTTCTAACCCATAAGTGTTTAGTATAACCCTTATAATGGGCTGGGAAAAATCGGGCGCAACAGTATGTGAGTTCTATATGATATTTCTCTATTATTGCTTCATATACTTGATACTTTGATATGTGTTGAATTTGATGATTTTGCCAAGTACTATAAACTAAGTTTGGGGGTGTTATCTCTATTTTGCCTCATGTGCTTCATTTTGGTATATCTTTGCTGGTCTGGTTTTCTGGTAATATCTTTCTAACTTTCTTTTGTTATCACACATTAAGGACAATGTGCATCTTAAGTTTGGGGTTAAGGAAAATTCAAAATAATTTTTAATGGAATAATATAAGGTTCTAACAATTTGATATTATAAGCATGATTTTGAGTCTGTTGACTGTCAGGTATTCTCTTTGCAATTTGATGTTCTTTCCCGACTTCAGGATGAGAAAAAACATTGTCAGAAGACACTTGATTTGCCCAATCTTGTTTTCCATATAATTCCCAACAAGCATCAATGTTATGATTGGTGCCTTGGCAATATCCACAATGACAGGCTTCTCCACGGCCACAACCACGTCTTCCATGACCATGATCACAACCACCATGTCCTTGAGTACTAACCGTATTTCCTCCATAGTTTTGGTTACCACTAGAAGTACCACGACCCCTTATAGAATTTTGACTACCAAATGAGGTCAACATAGCAGAATTTTCTCTTCCAACCGATTTAGAAGATGATGACGATTCAACAACTCTAAATAAACGAGCATACACATTACCCAGAGATGGAAGTCCTCCATCACTAGCAAGAATTTGGTTACGAATAGTTTGGAGATTAGATACAAATCTCCAAACTAGATGCATAAAATTCCTCACTGGCTGGTACTGATTCAACTCATCTAACAGTCCTTTGAAAGCACAGTAATATTCACCTATGCTTTTACCTGACTGGCGATAAAGGCACATTTTCTCACACAGAGTAAACGCGAGAAACATTTTTGTTGATAGAATAATTCTCACGAACTGCATCCCAAATTTCCTTGGCAATATTAACAAACATAAATTGGCTGCAATTGAAGGTTCCTTGTTATTCCATCGCCATGACATAACCATGTAATTTCCAGTTTCCCAATCATCAAGCCCTTTATCGGTTTTGGGTGGAGGGTCATCCAGATAAACTTGAATTTACTTCTAGCTCCTAAGAATATTTTCACCGCCTGAGCATCAAGTTATTGGTATTACTAAGTTTAACAGTAGTAATTTGTATCCCAACATGATTATTTAATTTTTCATTGGAATCTGCCATGTCCAGTAGTTTGCTGGAAGAATAAACATAACAGTAGAAGTTGAAGTGGAGTAGGTAACAGAGCAAGAAATACCAATACAGTAGACGGAATCAGTCTCCAATGGGTCAGACTCGACGAAAAAAGCTACCTGGACTAATCTGAAAACCATGTTTATCAGTCAGATTGAATTATACTGGTTGGACTTAACCCGGTTTGAATCTAGCTGAATTGGGTTAACCAGATCCTTTACACATAGCAACGATGAACAACGAAGGCGACAAGGAAGATCGATGATGTTAACCCACTTTGAATGGGATTAGGATGAGGGTAGCAAAGCAAGTGGAGGTTACGGTGTTAGGGAGTGACTTGCGCTGCGGCTGGACTTTGATGGAACACATTCGTCGCTTTGGCAAATAGAAATAGAGAGAGATCCCTTTCTCACGTGCTGGTGGTAATATTTCTTAGGGCGGGTTTCTCTAAGGAATTTGGCGCACCAATGGGGGCAATCTATGAAAGAAATAGGCATTGTTAGTAATAGCTTCCCTTGTTCCTGTGCCTAAGCTTTTCCCTCATTCTTTTCGTTCTTACTGACGTCACAACGTAGGCGGCGTAACACATGCATCACCCAGTCATGATACAGCTTCATCAGTCTCTCTTCCTTGTAGATCTTCCTCCCGAGACTATTAAAGCCCCTGTTTCTACTGGAGCTGAAGGGTAATTCCTTGAGCCGCTGCTTGTTAATTTGAGTCTGTCTAGTGGTGGGGCCGAACATCCTTGCCCTTCGTGTTTGATCAGCGTGCGAACAATTCCAAGGAAAATCATTCGTGGTAATGACAAGGATCTCTTGCCTACTTGCATCTGAACTATTGGATCAAGTGTTTTCGCTCATAGAATAGCTACCCTCAACGATCAATTGCTGTCTCTTCCGTTGTGTTAGGCGTGCCTCATATTGAGTCCTATTTGGGGGAAACCCCGACAGAGGGAGAAAAACAGCTTTCAAGCTCCATTAAGTGAAGGAAATTCTTGAAAAAAGGGGAAAGGACTTGACCCTGGATTAAGAACGTGGTAGTTAAGGTGCTGGGCTGTTGGGCGAGAAGAGAGATTGGGCATTTGTTCCGGTTCCGGTGAATACTGCTTTGCTCGCATATCTATTTCTCAGATCTGCAAGTAAAAATGAAAAGCATCTTCCAATCGTGGATCCGAGCTTGAGAAGGAATTCCCTTGAATGGTGAGCTTACTCTCCCGCGCTAATAGATGACTTGCTTCTAAGTAAGAGTCGGATTACAGGCCCTAGCATACATAGTCGGGATGCCCCAAAACATTAGGAGCATAAAAAATCCAAATGGAAAAAAAGATAGAAGAAGCTACCCAACCTACTAGATCTTTAAGTTCTATCACTCACTAGAGCGAAAACGGGGTAGAAGACAAATACCTGTAATCAACAACTATCGTCGATGCAAGATCGTATGATACAAAAACACACACATGATATGCCAACAACGGCTGCCACACGTTGACAGAGACTCTCTTTGAAGGAGGTGAACGATCAGTGGAGACAAACAATTATTGACGGCATAGAGTTAGGATCCGGCTCTGATACCATGTTGAGAGAGAGAGAATTACCGAGAAAGAGACATAATATTGGGGGTATTCTCTCAATACAGAGAACCCTACATAAATATATATATATATATATATATATATATATATATATATACACACACACAAGTATTTGAGTATTATAAGTAGGTCACAAACTCTGACTAATTACATTATTACCCACCATGTATTATGGCCACTTTACGATGGATTGATTTTGGTGGCCTGGAAGGACTTACCCCTATGTCCATTTTTTTTCTTCCTTTTCTTTTATCCTTCCTACCAATCCGAGAAAACTTTTTCAGCCACCTCCCTTTCCTTCCATTTTTTCCTTCCTCTTATGGGCCTTATAAAAATACAAAGTGAATTTAGAAATATAATCAGTGTGCATTTCTAGTCTGAGGAAATGGATTGATCTATTGTTTTAGATACTGATGGTTTTAAAAGTTAGATTTGTGTAGTTAGAAACATGAGAGGGCCAAGGAATTCTTGAAATTTTTATAAATCAGTTGGTGGCCTGTGGTCCACTTTGTTAGGATGATTATTGTTTGATGAAATTTATCTCTGAAATACTCCACTTTGTATATATTCACACTTGCATGATTTCTATAGCATATAAACTAGAAGTCTTGTTTTGTTTTGAGTTAAACTGAGATGAGTAGGTGAATTTGATGATTTTGATAACCCAGGCATAAAAAAAATAAAAGAGAAAAAAAAATAAAATAAAAAAAGCTATGAAAAGGTATGTATACAAGCAAAAAAAGAAAAAAATTCTTCACCAATGTGAAAAAAAAGAAAAAAAGAAAAAAAAAAAAGGAAAGAAAAGTGAAGAAGATAAGTAGAAAATGGTCAAGTTCAGGTTTGTACTTAGATTGCTTGAGCAATCAAGTCCTTAGAGGTGTGCTTTGACACCTAATGCCATAAGACCATCTAGTTTGGGAGTCATTGGCTAAAAACTTGTTGCGTAAGGGGTTTAGGTTGCCTAAATTACTTGAACAATTAGGTCCGGAGGGGTGTTTTATCACTTAATACCCTAAAATCATTTGGTTTGGGAGTCATTGGCCGAAAATTGGTTACATGGGTGATTTAGAAAGCTTAATAGACCTGAAAATTGCACAGTATCAAAATACATATCAGTGGGAAAAAAATAATAATGCCTTGGGAGTTGGAATTTGAAAAGATTGCCTGTGAGTTGAGGGATAACATGGAATAAATGCAAGAATGGACAGTAAGCTACATGTTTGACTATAAGTTCACTACTAAAGAGTTTTAGAGATTGAGATTGTTGAATAGATGATTGAACTAACATATGGGGACCATGGCTGCTAAATTGAAATTGGAAATTAAAAGTGTTTCTGATTAATATAATTGCCTATACTTGCTATATTTAATTGAATGATGAACTGTAGGGATATTTTGATTTGAAAGCAGGCTTGAATGAGCTTATTGTATAATTAAGGCATTGTTTGAGATGTTTGTGGGTACTATCACTGGAAAACCCTCACAAGACTATAACTCGTCCATTAAGGGTAACCTAGGGGTTTAAAGGCTTGTTGCATAAGCTAAATGCAACCGCAATTCCCACGAAAGCAACTCTTTTGTTATGTATTGCTAAGGGACTAGCAATATGTAAGTTTGGGGGTGTGATGAGAGCTAAATATTGCATATTCGAGCCCCTAAATATACCTATGTTAAGGCTTTAAGTGATACTTCTATCCATCGTTAGACTGATTTATGTTTATTGTGTGTTTATAGGTACTTTTCCAAAGAAACGATTAAATCGGGACCTTATGGTGAAAAGACTGATATCGAAGCTTACAGAGTCATTACTGGTCATTCAAAACAAGCCAAGAGCTTAAATGGTGAAGTTTGGAAGAATACAAGTCCCAAAGCTCGAGCCTAAGTCCTGAGGCTCGAGCCTCGCAAGAAAAAGAAGAAAATCAACAAGGCATTAAAGCTTGAGCCTTGGACCTTTAGAGCTCGAGCCCTAACCAATAGTGTTTAAGCCTTACCTCATGGTGCTCGAGAATGAGGCGTTAGAATTTGAAGAGTTGATTTTAAAGAAAAACCAAGCTCTCAGGGCCTCATGCCAGACCTCAAGGATCGAGCACCATCATTCAAAGCTCGAGCCTTGAGTACCAAAAGCTCGAGCTCAAGACCAGGAGCTCGAGCCTTATGAAGCTGAGATCGAGTAATGTTAAAAGAAGAGAACCTTAAAATATTCTAAGTGTTGAAGGAAAAGATGCTTCGGAAAATAGTTGAAGAAATTTGACTAAGTATAGAATTGAAGCTCGAGCACCATCTTTTGAAGCTCGAGCAATAATTCAAGAAACCTCGAGCTTTGCTCCTAAAGCTCAAGCCTAAGCCCCAAAGCTCGAGCTCCACTTCTAAAGCTCGAGCTTTCCAGGATAGATCAGAATTAATGTTACGGGAATTATTCTTTTCTAAGTCGTATTTCATTCCAGATGGGCCAGAAGACATAAAAATACACCAGACCTTTATTTTCTTTTATAAAAGAAGGCATAGGCCTTGATTTAAAGGGTTTGAAGTTTCAAGTTCCTTGTTCTTGTATTATTCGAAAGGCTGATATTATGGTGGTAGCTTTTAGGGTTTCTATAACCTTGGAAGGTGAAGATCCTGAGAAGAAAAGTGTCGTCCATGATGATGAAGATGACAACAACACAGATGATATTCTGCATCGTCATGAGTAGGTAATTCCTCTCTTAGGGCATTGATGTAATCCATCTGATTACTATGGTTTGATTGTTTAACTCTAGAATAATTTTAATATATATTATATGTCTTGATTACATAATTATGAGCAATTGAGACAACTCAATTGGTTCTTTAAGTTTTAATAGTTTCTGAATTGTTACTACCTTGTCTTAGATATAACTATTCATTAACTATACTCAATCCATTCTTATTGGATGGTATCTGGCGGAGCCCTACCGGATATAAGATTGGAGATCATGTAATGGTGTTCAAATGTTTTTTTTTATAAATGAATGTTTTCATAGTCTATGCTTAGGAAAGATGGATTATTTACAAAATTAGTTAAAGTAGGTAGGTGGAAAATCTTTCCTAACATAGGTTATAGTTAACTATAATTTATAAAACATCTTTCTTTAAAAACTCAAATTGAACAAATGTTATTGAGTTCAATTCATTTGAAATATAATTTGTTAAATTCTCAGAGTTGAAATAGTTAACCATAGTATGAAAGTTGTGGTGAAGTCAAAGCCCTAAGATTTCTCTCTCTCTAATCACTTTAGTTTAACTTTATTTTATGTTCATGATAACCAAAATCAATTGATTCAACCAGTTACTTGTAAACCAAATATTAGTTAAAAATAAAGCAAAGAAAACTCCTCTTCTTATGGGATCGACACCGTCTATATAGTACTATCCTACAGAGATTCATGCTAACTAACAACACAACGGAGCCTTCATGTAGTCACCCTGGATTTTTCAACCCAGTATGTACAGTAATGAACCTAAGATTGACCCGATAACGGATCCGGATGGGGAAGCAAGAAACAAGGCATTGGTCTCACAAGGCATAACATGCCTCTAAGACCCCAAGATGACCTTCCATGAGGTCACGAAACTCAAAGGAACGGAAGCGACGTTTCAAAAACGAACAAGAATGAACCTGAGGTTAGAAAGGTCATTTCATAATGTATGGATTCAGGTGCCACCGAGTACACCACTGGAAATACAACGAAAAACAAATCATGATGGACTCAAGAATTGCATGATTCTGAGTCCGAACGAAGGAGAAACGTCAAAATGAAGAAAAATGAGCGAAACCCGTTACTCAAGGGCAAAATGGTCAATTTACAACTGAGAAGGGAGATTTGACTCTAAACAAGTCAAATAAGGTCCACACAACCTAAACAATTCATTTCACAACATTCTAAGAGGGTTCTAAGAACTTTGAACATGACTCCCACAAAACGCCTTTTCTCGGTTTAAGCAAAAACTGATATCCTCTCACTAAAATATGAATAACTCTCACCACAATTGGATTTTGAATGCATGGTTGGTGTCATTGGAAATATGACTTCAAGCTCATGAATTTAGGCTTAAGAATCACCCCATTTGGGTTAGAAATGAAGAAGTTATGGCCATTCGAAGTTGGAAGTTCAGTGTTGAAACACAACAGAGGCTAGTCTTGGGATCTAGCTATTTCAGTCAACCAAAATAACTCGTTGGATGACCAAAATGAACACAAATCATGCTGAAAACAAGTTTTTAAGGCTTGGTTGATTCAGTAGACCGATATAACCCATCGGTCAATCGAAATAGGTCCAAACAGTGCAAAAGCCTACTGGAAAAGATGGTTTGATGAACATAAAAAACCAAAGGAGAATCAGTCGACCGAACTAGCACTTCGGTCTACTGAAATGGCTTAAGAATGTGCATATGGACCTGTTATGCACCTAAGGCTGAAAGTCTATTTGGAATCCCCCATGGCATGTTCAATTTACATTATAAGCTAATGTGTAATGATGTGAACGTGCGCAAGTGTAATATTGCATTTTAGACATGCTACAATAGCCTACGGCCTCATTGCATTTCATTTACAAAATTTAACATGTCAAACCTCTAAAGTTGGAAAAGTTTGCATTTCAAAGGCAAAACTTGAGGTTTACATACATACACTTGAAGTTTAAAGTCTATGGCCCTTGGCCTCATTTCATACATGTCAAATACATTGAAAATAGTGTATTTATGTACACTTTACATACATAGAATCAAGAATACAAGTTTTGTCAAAATAAACAAAGACAAACATGATATGCTAACATGTGCATATTCAATGTCATCAAAATACTTCAAGACTTCTAGCATGTCTGGGAGTGTTGTGTATCCCGCAACAAGGCTTCTTTACCTGCAAAACACCCAGTAACTTCGGGGTGAATAAATAAGACTAACAAGTTTATTCGTAGGGAATGAGCATGCATGACTCGATTTCTTTAAGATTTTTAGACAACATAAATCATTTCAAAAGGGATCATGTCACCTAACGTCTATGT